TGCTGCTGCTAAGGTAAGGCAGCTCTGTCCCAAAGAACACAGAATTTAGCATTATATGAGGAAACACACTCATATGTTCAAGATCTTATTTAATCAAATGCCCTGTCCTCAATAGGGCTTACTTGCTTTATTACCTTATCTCCCCAGTGTCCTGACAATCACCAACATTAAGAAACAGTTGAGTTAGGAGGGGGATCATCTAAATGGAAAGGGAGGAGGGGAACAGGGCAGGGAAGAAGGCATAAGCACAGGTGTGGAATGAAGCTGAGGTGATGAACGTGAGAAAGAACAGGACAGAGCAAATGTTGGCAAAGGACAGAGCAAGTCCAGGTGAAACTGTAGCAAGTTCCCTAAACACACACAAATCCCTGCTTTGGCTACTTCTGGCTGGAGTCCCTGGCTGGCTTCTCTGATTTTTTTTCAGAGGGAAGCCACATCCGAGTCCTAGAGCTCTCAGGATTGGGGTGCCCCCTGAACAGTCTGAGAGGGGATGCACAATGGGTAAAATAGTAGTCCCAGATTAGCTCCAGTTCCCCCTCTCCCCAGCAGTGCAGCAGTCCCAGCTGACTGGAGCCCCTGGCAATTATGTTTCTCGCTAATATAGTATGCACTCTATCACCACCTCTCCCCCACCCGTACATTGAAAAGGTGGGACTTTATACCTACTTTACCATAAAACATTATCAGAAGTGCACTTCAAGCAGCCCTCCACCCAGAAAAGAGAATTCCATTTTCAAACAACTTTAATTAAACATACTGATGAATATTGTGTAGCTAAAATTTGTGTCATGCCTTTAAAAGACAGGCGGCTCACTCAATCAAGCCTATTGTGTACACCAATGTTTGCCAAGTTTATTTTCCCTCTAATTAGTATTTGTATATGTGATTAGATACAGCTTGTACTTTTAACTGTGAATGATTATAACTCTGCTAGCCCTACCCTTTATTTTTCATACATTCCTTCTATACAGGCCCCATGGAGGGGAAGGCATTTAGCCTGGGCCTCAGGAGACAAAGAGGCCTCACATTTTGACATTTTTCTACAAGTCATTTCCATTTATTATACATCTTGCAGTTATAAGAGGGACAACAAAAGAAGTTCTATATACCTGCAAAACAATTATTAAATCATTGTGGGACCTCGAGTCTCTGACAATTTTTCAGTCACCTCTGAGTTTTTATTTGCGTGACTAAAGACTGAAGTAGCTTCTGTGATTGGTGATTCTAAATAGAATCATAGAATACTAGGACTGGAAGGGACCTTGACAGGTCATCAAGTCCAGTCCCCTGCCCCCATGGCAGGACCCAGTACTGTCTAGACCATCACTGATAGATATTTATCTAGCCTACTCTCAAATATCTCCAGAGATTCCTAAACCTCCTGAGGCAATTTATTCCAGTGTTTAACCATCCTGACAGTTAGGAACTTTTTCCTAACGTCCAACCTAAACCTCCCTTGCTGCAGTTTAAGCCCATTGATTCTTGTTCTGTCCTTAGATGCCAGGAAGAACAATTTTTCTCTCTCCTCCTTGTGACACCCTTTTACATACCTGAAAACTGCTATTATGTCCCCTCTCAATCTTGTCTTTTCCAAACTAAACAAGCCCAGTTCTTTTAGTCTTCTTTCATTGCCCATGTTCTCTAGACCTTTAATCATTCTTGTTGCTCTTCTCTGGAACTTCTCCAATTTCTCCACATCTTTCTTGAAATGTGGTGCCCAGAACTGGACACAATACTCCAACTGATTTGCCTATGATCAAATACAAAGCTGGAAATAGTACCCAGGTCCCAGGTTTCCCAATTACTAATCAGTGGGCTGGTGCTGGTCCCGGAGAGCTCCCTGACACAGTTTAGGAAGGCAGCAAGCTGGTCCCTGGTTTCAAAGATGGTAAGAAACTCTACACTAGACCACACTGCCTTTCAATGGTCTAAGGCTCCAAGAATCAACAGTGATCATCCTGTCATTAAGAACAAAACAACAAATTACAGCAAGAGGCTCTCCATGTAGCATTAAAAAATGGGACCTCAAACAACAAAGAAAACATATACAAGCAGAGCAAAGCCGCGGAGCACGCAGGCAGCGGACAGCCCAGACGTGTCTGGGCTGTCCGCTGCCTGCGTGCTCCGCGGCTTTGCTCCGGACACCTGTGGTACAGCAGCTGGGGCGCTGCCAGTTGGTCCCGTAGCGCCGCTCTGGGCGCTACGGGACCAACCGGGCAGCACCCCAGCTGCTCTGCCCCAGGCGTCCTGATTCAGCCACTGCTGAAACTGACCAGTGACTGACTACAGGAAGCCCCTGCCCCGGGCTTCCTGGAATCAGCCGCTGATCAGTTTCAGCAGCGGCTGACTTGGGGACGCCTGGGGCAGAGCAGCTGGGGTGCTGCTGGGTTGGTCCAGTAGCGCCGCCGCTCCTCGGTGCTACTGGACCAACCCAGCAGCACCCCAGCTGCTCTGCCCCAGGCGTCCTGATTCAGCCACTGCTGAAACTGACCAGTGACTGACTACAGGAAGCCCCTGCCCCGGGCTTCCTGGAATCAGCCGCTGATCAGTTTCAGCAGCGGCTGACTTGGGGACGCCTGGGGCAGAGCAGCTGGGGTGCTGCTGGGTTGGTCCAGTAGCGCCGCCGCTCCTCGGTGCTACTGGACCAACCCAGCAGCACCCCAGCTGCTCTGCCCCAGGCGTCCTGATTCAGCCACTGCTGAAACTGACCAGTGACTGACTACAGGAAGCCCCTGCCCCGGGCTTCCTGGAATCAGCCGCTGATCAGTTTCAGCAGCGGCTGAATCTGGACACCAGTTCCGACTTACATACAGATTCAACTTAAGAACAAACCTACAGTCCCTATCTTGTACATAACCCGGGGACTGCCTGTAGTTCATTCAAATGCAGTGGCAGCTTGTTGTGCAGTGATTATACAAACAGCCAACCTAGTGTTACAACAGTATTTTACATTCCTTTGAGACGTATTGTTATAAGAGTAATATCTGATTACATTCCTCAGGATGAAGTAATTGAAAGTGGCTCTCCTGTGACAGAAGCATTGCTATTAACTTGTTTTGGTACATCTACAGTAGATGGGATACTAGTCTCGCTTATGAGATCATTTGTTTTCTCAGGAGAGCCCATTCTTTGTAGTCTGAGGAGACAATACTCTTTACACCAGATCCATACGTTTGTTAAAAATAACTATCAAATTATCAGTAGAAATGACAATGCTAGAAATATACAAATATATTTATAGAATTTATGATGTCATTGAAATGAATAATATTCTCAAAACTTTAACCATGCACTAAAAATGAAGACTTGATTTTAGCCATCTGGCTTCATTGAAGAGAACAACTATTACATCCAAAATTTACCTTAAGAAGAACATTAAGGTTGAAAAGTCAAGCATGCAATAGTTAAGAAATGCCAGAATTAAAGATATCTGTGCACTGTTAATTCAGACCCCTTGTGAATTATAAGATAGTTGTGTCTGATAAGATAATTGTTTACATATTATTTTCCACAGAACCCCGTCTCATTCAGTGATGGATATATTGAATATTTCTTTTTGCCCTCAACCTTCAGTGTGTGCCCCATATATTATTTACGGCAGACGATTCAAATCCTGCTCTGAACCCCAAATTATTAATTTCTGCTGCTGTTCACCACCATAGCACTTGAATCACAAACATGAATTTATCTTCATTCATGTATTTCTATGTGAGAAAGTAATATGAATCCCATTTTACACATGGGGAACTGAGGCACATATTAATAAAAAAAAAGTCAACTCATTTTGGGTTCCCTGTTTAGGACCTTACGGCAGTGATGAGTAACTTAGGCTAGTGAGTAGGCCACATGAGTGGCCCTCCATCTCAGCGGGCTGCAAGATTGTCATAACCAAGGAGGTTCTCTTGGGACAGGGTAATATTGCTAACTGCACTTGGGTACTTAGCATTTGCAGTGTGTGGCAATTGATGTAGAGGAAGTTCATGGCTCTCATAAGCAATGTTATGTACAATCACACATACCTCACTTCACATGGCTTTGCTTTACATGCATGTGACTTTAAGAACATTGGTAGGGGAAAAACTGAGGATGGGAACCAGCAGTATCTGGCAACCCTATACATGGGCAACAGTCAACAAAATGCCTCGTGGGCCACACAAAGAACCCCAATTAGCCACATACATTCCTCAGGCCACATATTGCACACCACTGCCTTAGGATTTGTTTTTTGGAGCACTTAGCATTATGTAGTACTTTGTATATCAAAAGCACAGGTCCCATTCATTTGAGTTGTAGCTCTGAATGTTTAACATTTCAAAAAAATCAAGCCTCCCAGGTTTCAAGGTGGAAAGTCAGAAAATGAAGAACACGCATCAACTAGTGGCCACCTTTTGTAAATTTGGTTTAAGTGACTATTGCGGCATCACACAGGGAACTCTCTGGTAGAGGCAGACACAGAATCCAGTTGTCCAGGATGGAACCCAAGAGTTTAAACCATGAGATCCCCTCATCTCTTACTGCAGTTCCCTGCATCACAAAGCAAGCTGAATCCTACAGACAAGTCTCCTCTCTTTCACCCGGATTCATTGCCTGAGCACAGTCTGTCTTATACATTGTCTAAGGCAAGTTTTCCACAGGAACACAACAAAAGGCACATCCCTCTGTGAAATTTCAGTTTCTTGCACCAAAGCACAAGAGGCCCTGGAGGTTTTCAATTAAATAGTCATACAAGTGCATTATTTTGCCACATTAAAGACATGTATTTTTGTGTTATCTCATTCTCAGAAATGGCTGGACCATTTTTGCTGAGATTTTTCAGAAGTCATCCTGACACAGAAACCCAACATGGAAAATTAAAGTTTGGCAAAGTTATAAGTAGCTGAAAACAAGGTATTAGATTACGAGGAAGATTGTCAGCTAGCTAGCATGACTAGCTCTGCCTAAATTAAGTAGCCTGCTGTTCACTGGCTTTCTATTGCAGTTTAATGATACAATTAGCTTACCTGATAAGAAAATGATGCAGTCCAACATCAAAACTTCTGTAAGAAAAACAATACAACATATTTTAAATGCTCAGATACAACAGTGATGAGTATTATACAACACAACCTCAAAATAATCAACTAGCTAAAATAAAATTACTTCTACATATTCACATCTAGAAATGATGTCCAAGACAGACTGAAGTATAACACAGTTTGGTGTAATTTATGCAACAAGATACAATAGTCCGGCATCCAATTGTACGGCATTCCCAATAGTCCGGCATCAACATAGCAAGAGCCTAGTGAGTGAGCTTCAGCAAAAAGCGAGTCACAAGGCAGCAGCAGCAGCAGCTGAACTGAGCAAAATTGGACAGGATCAAGTCAGTCTGCCACTGGCATTGTGACACGCTGGACAGTGCTTGTGCTACAATAAAAAGGGTTAAAACACTTTATATAAAGTATATACAGTATATACTTTATATAAAGTATATATATATAAAACCAGCATATAGTACCTCCTGATAGTCCAGCATATCTGATAATCCGGCCCCACCTCAGTTCCAAAGGTTCCGGATTATTGGAAGTCTACTGAACATAAAATGTAAATTAATCATCTAGAGGAAAGACATGAATTCATTAAATTCAAATGTTTGAGCATTTCCTTGAGCTGTTCGGTAAGTCAATGCCACACAGAATGGTATAGTTCATGGAGATGATTAATCTGAGTCCTACTGCTGACATACATTTTTTACAGCCTTTTCATAACTGGTAGGTCTGTTTGCTTCATGTATTAAAGAGCTGTAGATGACAGCATACCTTTTACCTGAACTGCTACATAAAGCCCTCTCCATCTCTGGGCAACTTTGTGCCATTCCATCAAAGCTGCACTAGAACAGCCCACTCCTCCATGATGATTGCCTTGCATATAGATTCCTTACATAGATGATGTAAAATAATCTATAGCAGCCACTATGCCAGTCCCCTCTGCCCCTGCCTGACTTAGAGGGCATATGCCTAGGAAAAGTATGCCTGGAGGGCTTGCCCTGAATCCATCTGATATCTAGCTGATGAAAAATCCAGCCGGCTACTGGCAGCCAATACAAGATAGACAAATCCCAGGAACAAAAGCAGTGCCTGGAGACCCCAGGACTGAGGGGGTTCATCTTCACAGCCCTGGAGATGAACCTCTCCACCCAGACAGACAGACTCAGGCTCATGCTTCGTTACTATAAAAGAGGGATTCTGCCTCAAGCCTAGGGAGCATGATGGGCCTCAATGTTGAACCCCGCACAAGCCACAATTCAGAGTGTTATCTACCCACCTATTGATAGAGCGCTAGCACAAGCCCTGCTAGCCCAAGCCTGTTGGTCCAGGCTGAAATGCACAGATATGCAAAGGTTGCTTACAGTCATCTTTGTTCCCCTCTTCTAGACTTGCTCTAAAATATCCTCCAGCCAATTTGGAGCATCCAGCCCACAAACTTTAATTGATAAAATTGCATGAAACTTAGTTGTAGTAAGATGGGGATCTGAAACATAAGCCCACATATCACAGGCTGGGTATGAGGCTGAGGCCTAGACAGCAATGTCTTGGGGACTTTGCTAATATAAAGCAAAGTTAAGCTGTGAGCAAAAGGCAGGCCCTGCTCACAGAAATTGCAAGAACAGGGCTGATATTACAGGCTACGACTACACTATGGCTGTGTCTAGACTGGCCAGTTTTTCCGGAAAATCAGCCGCTTTTCCGGAAAAACTTGCCAGCTGTCTACACTGGCCGCTTGAATTGCTGCAAAAACACTGACTTCCTACTGTAAGAAATCAGTGCTTCTTGCGGAAATACTAAGCTGCTCCTGTTCGGGCAAAAGTCCCTTTTGCGCAAAACTTTTGCGGAAAAGGGCCAGTGTAGACAGCTGTGATTTGTTTTCCGCAAAAAAGCCCCGATTGTGAAAACGGCGATCGGGGCTTTTTTGCGCAAAAGCGCATCTAGATTGGCCACGGACGCTTTTCCGCAAAAAGTGCTTTTGCGGAAAAGCGTCCGTGCCAATCTAGACACTCTTT